GAATGGGACCCATACGAGAACGCGGTCACAGATGACACAGTGAAGGTCATGCGCAACCGATTGCGTAACCAACTGCATTGGTGGATATCGTGGTGCGACAGCAGTTTTATCATCTCTATTATTGCCAGGGGATATTGGCTGCCTTGGAAAACTACAGAACCGCCACCCTTCGAAACCACAAACCACGCGGGTGTTCATGCACACACCACGTTCACTCGTGAGGCCATTCGCGACTTAATCACATCGGGCGCGGCAACCAAGGTCGCCTCGCGGACTGCGCTCTCGTGCGTGAGCCCACTCAACGTGGTAGAACAACGCGACAAATGTCGCCTCATCCTCGACCTACGCAAGGTCAACCAACACCTCCAAGTCACTAAATTCAAATACGAGGGCCTGAATCGCGTTTCGGAGATCATTCGACGCAACGACTGGCTGTTCACCATTGACCTAAAATCGGGCTACCACCATGTCGAGATGCACCCTTCGTGCTGGAAGTTCCTAGGCTTCCAATTCGAAGGCGAGTTCTACTGCTTCCGAGCCTTGCCGTTTGGACTGGCGACAGCACCTTTCGTCTTCACCCAGTTGATCAAGCAATTGGCCAAACGCTGGCGGGCGCGGGGCGTGCGCGTAGTCCCATATGTGGACGACCTGCTATTCCTCTGCGACTCGGCGGAGCACGCACGCAAGACATGCACAGAGGTTCTCCGAGACCTGGGGGCGGCAGGTTTCGTGATCAACGAAAAGAAATCACGCCTCCAGCCGGCCCATCAAACACGATTTCTGGGGATGGAGCTGGACACGACATGCGGCATGTTTAGCATCGGCTCCGATCGGCGAGCGCAGTTCCTCGACAAGCTGCACACACTCATCTCCAAGGGGCAACGCGGCCAGCAAGTCCTAATTCGGGAAGTCGCTCGTATCACCGGAATGTTGAGCTCTATGTCCCTCGCATTGGGCACAACAGCACGCGCCTTCAGCCACGAGCTGCTACAATTGATCGAGACAGCGGCATCCTGGAACTCAAGGATCGGGCTGACACGGGCCGCCATCGAGGAGCTAATCTTCTGGCAACTGCACTTCGACCAGTTTAACGGTGCCCCATTTCACCTAAGCCATCAATTCGATGTTGTGATCCACGTCGACGCGAGCGCTCACAGCTGGGGCGCCACCCTCACCAAGTTTACCGACGCGTCGTACGAAGCAAGCGCCAGCATGCCGAGCGAGCTTCTCCCAACCTCAAGCACTCAAAGGGAGCTCGAGGGTGTCCTCTGGGCGCTACAGACATTTGCGTCCCATCTCACAGGCGGCCACGTTTTGGTTCGCGTGGACAACCAAGGAGTCATGTTTATCTTGCGCAAAGGGGGGTCCAGTCAACCTCGGCTCACACTGACTTGTCAAGCAGTCATACAGTTTTGCCTCAAGAACCATACACGTCTGGCAATCGAATGGATCCCAAGGGAGCTCAACGCCCACGCGGACGAACTGTCAAAACTCCAAGACCATGACGACTACTCGCTGCACATGCCATGGTTTCGCCTACTGGAACGTCGATGGGGCCCCCATACGATCGACCTTTTCGCGAACATTAGCAACAGGAGGCTGCAACGATTCTGCTCCAAGATACCGCACCCAAGTGCCACAGCAATTGACGCGTTCTCGATCTCGTGGAAAGGCGAGCGGTGCTTCACCTTTCCGCCCCCCGGCTTGATCCCAGCCACACTCTCTCACGCCAGGCGCACACAAGCCGAGTTGACACTCGTCGTCCCCAAGTGGCCGGGAGCAGCATGGTGGCCGTTGCTACAACCCTCCCCAGAGACATGGGCCCCAGAAGTGATCGCATGCTTGCCACTCGCTCAAGGCAGCCAGTGCCTTCGACCTGGTTCGCATGCAACAGCATTTTCCGGACTAGGCCTACCCCATAGCCCAATAATTGCCTTGCATGTAAAATATCATACGTGACTAATATTCGAGTGTTAATTCTTTCAGGATTATTGACCCAGCTTCAAAACCAACTGTTACAAGTTATAAATGATGTTCGCGCACCGTCTACGATCGAGACATACCAGCCTTACTGGCTCAAATTTCGCAACTTTTGCACCCGAGTCAAGCTAGCTTTTCTGCCAGCGACGGACCTCACGCTGGCACTCTACCTAGTCCATGCGTTGAACAACAAGGCAACAACGTCAGCGATCAACCTCACATGCTCTGCCGTAGCCTTCGCCCATCGAATGACCGGAGAGGCATCCCCAACGAACGGCCCGTTCACGCTGCAAGTACGAGAGTTCGCTAAGCGACATGGCCTACGCCCAACAAGGACCAAGGAACCCGTGTCACTACATCAAGTGCACAACATGGCACGACCATTCCTGGAATCAACAGTGCCGGCGGAATATCAGAAAGGCTTGATACCTCTCTTGATGCTCGCGGCATTCCTGCGCTACTCCGACCTGATCTCCCTCCAATGAAACGACATTCAGTTCGAAGGGGAGGCAATGTGGCTACTGATTCCCTACTCTAAGACGGACCAAGAAGGCAAGGGCACGTGGATCCCGGTCGCAGCGTCAGCAGGGCCCTACTGCGCAGTGAGATGCACACGGGAGTTCATTCGCATCGCAGGCCTTGCAAACATGCCTCACGGGCCACTGATTCGGGTTTTCAACAAAAGGGCACAGGCCTCGCCGCACGACAAATCGCCTTCATACCCAACCATTCGGAGCTGGTGCCTCGAGGCGTGCAAGAAGGCAGGGCTCGACGCCACACACATCGGGACACACTCATTCCGCAAGGGCGCGGCAACGGCAGCAGCGGCGTTAGGCATCCCTGACCGGCTCTTCAAACGAATGGGGCGATGGCGCAGCGACGGCGCGAAGGATCTCTACGTCACCATCGCCCAAGACCAACTCATCGACCTCTCCACCCGGCTGCAGGACACCTCTGCAGCCCCGTCGCCTGGTCGGCACCAGCAATCGTTGGAGAGGCACCGCCGACCCAAAATGCACTTGCCTCAGAAGACCCACTTGGAATGAAGCACGCTGCCTTTGCAAGATGGACTAAGCAAGCTTTCACAATATTATAATTTTTAAAAGTGTAACACTTTTTCAAATTTCGTATTGTGAAAGCGAGGACGTGGCCAGCAAAGCAAAGGTAGCGGCTCGACGCTACTCACCCCTCTTTTGCCTACAAAAGAGGGACGTGGGTTCAGTCGCCTTCACCCACGTTCTTCATTTCCAACTTTTCTAGTTTACTTTCCCACCACCCACCCCATTGTGTATCATTTATGAACGAGAACGTTGTATTACCCACTTGGAATGAAGCACGCTGCCTTTGCAAGATGGACTAAGCAAGCTTTCACAATGTACCCTATCCAACAAGCTAGTGGCATTAGCAAGGCGGTTTACTCTTGTTGGGAACAATAAGTCTTAAAGCGCCTCTATCGTGTCGAAACTCAGGACACAAGCGAAGCAGTCCAAATCGAAACATCGCGAGTCAACCCTCGGAGGTTAGGGTAACCGCCTAGAGGTTACGCGAAGGTCAAAAGTCAGCGACCTTTGACTTGACAAAATACAGCGCGACAGCAAGGACACACAACTGACTCGACATTGAGCAGTTGCCCGAGTCGCACTGTATCGAATCGCAACAGCAAAACAGTTTAATTATATATATTCGTATTCCTTGTACTCTTATATAAATCCTTGTATTTGCTTGTTTTAATCAACTTACTTTGCCCTCACATACTAGCGCAAGGTGGTTCAAGGACTTTATTCAAACGCTTCCGCTATTACAATCCTACTCAGACTTTAACTCTACAAAGATCCTAGGGCATCTCAACCCAACATGGTATGAGAGCAGTGTCAGAATATTATAGCTTACTTATTTGTGTAGGCTATAGTGGGGTATCCCATAGGGGGTACAACACAACTAGGGTTTTCTATTTGTACTCACTTAATTCATAGTTCACTCATTCTCTCGTTCACTTCTTCTCATGGTATCGAGCAGGTTCCCCTGTGGGAACTTTGCTTAGGGCCCACCACTTCGAAAACTTTTTTTCGTGCCCTAGCGCCCTAGCGCCCTAGCGCCCACACTTGCGCCCGCCCTAGCGCCCTAGCGCCCGCCCTAGCGCCCGCCCTAGCGCCCGCCCTAGCGCCCGCCCTAGCGCCAGCCCTAGCGCCCTAGCGCCCGGCGCCCGCCCTAGCGCCCGTGAGCAGACCGCGGCCTGCCCGTGAGCCGCCGCCCGTGAGCCTCCGCCCTTGAGCCGCCGCCCGTGAGCGCCGCCCGTGAGCGCCGCCCGTTAGCCGCCGCCCGTGAGCGCCGCCCGTCAGCCGCCGCCCGTAAGCAGCCGCCCGTCAGACGCCGCCCGTGCGCCGCCGTCTGCGAAGCCGCCGCCCGTGAGCCGCCGCCCGTGAGCCGCCCACCCGCGCGCCGCCCGACCGTGAGCCGGCGCCGCCCGTGAGCCGCCCGCCCGTGCGCCACCAGCCCGCCCGTGAGCCGCTAGCGCCGCCCGTGCGCCGCCCGTCCGTGAGCCGCCCGCCGGTGCGCCGCCCGCCCGTGAGCCGCCCGTCCGCGAGCCACCCACCCGCCCGTGCGCCGCCCGCGCCGCCCGTGCACAGCCCGCGAGCCGCCCGCGAGCAGCCCGCGAGCCGCCCGCGAGCAGCCTGCGAGCCGCCCCAGCCGCCCGTGCAGCCGCCCGTGAGCCGCCCCAGCCGCCCGTGAGCCGCCCGCGCGCCGCCCGTGACCAGCCCCGGCCGCTCGTGCAGTCACCCGTGCGCCGCCCGCGAGACGCCTGAGCCGCCCGAGCCGCCCGAGCCGCCCGAGCTGCCCGAGCCGCCCGAGCCGCCCGGACCGCCCGAGCCGCCCGAGCCGCCCGAGCAACCTGAGGTGCCGAGCTCCTGCTCTTGTGGGGCTGCTGCTGCTCCTGGACCGGCGCAGCCGCTGTGCTGCCGTGTTGCTGTACTACTGAGCTACCCGACTCTTCCTGCTCGGTGAGACTGTCAGCTGCTATAATGGCCACCCCCAGTGTCCTGGCTTTTGATGCTGAGGGTCGCGCCATTGACTTTGCAGTCTGGGTCGAGGACCTGCAGCTGTACTTACTGTGCGATGCGATAGATGAGGTTTCTCTCTTTGACTTTGTCTCTGGCGCTGTCCCTGCCCCTCCTTCTGATGCTGACCCCACTGTTCGCTCCAAGTGGGCCACACGCGATGCTGCTGCACGTCTTGCTGTGCGTCGCCACCTCCCTTCCTCCGAGCGTGCGCACTTTAGTCAGTGCAAGACCGCTCAGGCCTTGTACGACGCTGTAGTTGCGCGCTACTCCTCCCCTTCCTCCGCTACGCTGAGCCGCCTCATGCTACCGTACCTCTTCCCTGACCTCGCTGCCTTTCCCACAGTCGCTGACCTCTTTACCCACCTCCGCGCTAGTGACACTCGCTACCGCGCTGCGCTTCCTGCTGACTTCCGCGCCGCAAACCCTCCTCCCATGTACATCACTCTCTACTTTCTAGTCACCCGTCTCCCTGAGTCCCTTCGTGCCGTTAAGGACCAGTTTCTCTCTGTCTGTCCCACCACCCTCACCGTCGACCTCCTTGAGAAGTCCCTGCTAGCGGCTGAGAAGAGTATAGTCGCTGTAGGGGCCTCTCGTGGTGACCCTCGCACCCCCATCTTTGAGGGGTGTTCTCCCTCCCCCCTGTTACCCTCTATCGCCTCTGTTGCTGCGGCCGACCTCGTTGGTTTGGAGTCGGTCGGTGCGGCGTCTGCCCCCAGCGGTAGGCGCCACTCTGGCAGGGGCAAGGGGAGCAAGGGAGCGGGTGGAGCTAGCGGGGGCGGTGGCGGAGGAGGTGGAGGCGGCGGGGGGAGTGGGGGTGGCGGTGGAGGTGGTGGCAAGAGTGGAGGTACTGGTGGCGGCAGTGGAGGCGGAGGCGGCGGCGGAGGTGGTGGCGGAGGTGGCGGTGGGAGCGGCGGGGGCGAGGGTGGCGGTGGCGGCGGTGGCGGCGGAGGCGGGGGTGGCGGTGGTGGAGGTGGTCGGAGTGGCTCGTCCCAGCGGAGCGGCACTGGGGGTGGTCAGCGCAAGCAGTAGCAGCAGCAGCAGCAGCAGCGCTCTCGCGACGTCCCCACCCCTCAGCAGCTCCGTGAGTGGTACTCGCAGCGTCAGCGTGGTGGGGCGTTCGGTCCCTGCACCTACGTCCTTCGCACCGGCGACCGCGCGGGTGAGCAGTGTGGGGGCACCCACACCGCCCGCCGCTGCTTTGCCCGCTTGACCGACGCTTGGCGCCAGAAGTTTCCGGAGGCCTCTGAGATTCCCCGCTGGGGAGAGCTGTCTAGTGCTGGTGTAGCTATCTTTGATCTTGACTTTGATGCTATCCTTGCTGCCATGTATGCTGTGACTGTTAGTGATGAGGGTGACTGTTACCAGTGTTTCCCGCCCGACCCGGGCATTGGTACTGCTGCGTCAGGTGCCAGTCAGGCTGCTGCTCTAGGTGCCAGTGCGTCTGTGCTCTCAGGTACTAGTGAGTCTGCACTCTCAGGTACTGTATCGGCTTCGGCCTCTCACACCTTCACCCTTGACTCTGGGGCGTCTCGCTCCTTCTTTCGGGACTGCACCACTCTCACGCCGCTTAGTCGGCCGGTTGCGGTGTCCCTGGCTGACCCCTCTGGGGGTCCTGTCTTGTCTCGTTTCTCCACAGTCCTCCCGTGTCCGGCGGCTCCCTCTGGCACCCTGACTGGTCTCTAACTCCCCTCGTTCTCTACGAACCTGGTGAGTGGTGCTGACCTACAGGATGTGGGTGTCCACCAGTTCACTCCTGCTCGTCAGCGGATGACACACTGCACAGAGGCTAGCACAGGTCGCCACCTAGCTACGTTTACACGTCAGCCAGGGTCGAGCCTGTACACACTGACCACTGCTTCTCCTCCCGGTGCTGAGTCTGGTAGAGTCCCTTCGTCTGGTCAGGTGTTTGCTGCAGCGTCCAGGTCTGGTCCTGAGTCTGCCCCCTGTTCGTGTCGCCGTCTGTCTCACGAGACTCTCCTCTGGCACCACCGCCTTAGCCACCCCTCTCTGCTTCGGCTCAGAGGCATGGCCTCCCGTCTTCTTGTGTCTGGTCTCCCCCGGTCCCTCCCTCCCCTTCCTGAGGGCCGTGGCCCTGCCTGTGTCCCCTGTGTCGAGGGGCGCCAGCATGCTGCCCCTCACTCCTCCCAGTTTCCTCCGACAGAGGCTCCGTTGCAGACGCTTCACATGGACGTGTGGGGCCCTGCCCGCGTCCGTGGACTCGGTCACGAGCGCTACTTCCTGTTGTTGGTGGTCACACCGCAGTCTTCCCCTTGCGCAGCAAGGGTGATGTCACTGAGGTGCTGATCGACTGGATCCGCGCAGCTCGTCTCCAGCTCAGGCAGAGCTTTGGCTCGGACTTTTCTGTGTTGCGTCTGCACTCGGACAGAGGCGGAGAGTTCTCCTCTGGCCTTCTGCGTGCCTTCTGTCGTGCGCGAGGCATCCGCCAGACCTTCACGCTTCCGGACTCACCGCAGCAAAATGGGATTGCAGAGCGCCGCATTGGCATGGTCATGGACGTCGCTCGTACGTCTATGATGCATGCGGCAGCCCCCCATTTTCTGTGGCCGTTTGCGGTCAGGTACGTGGCGCATCAGATCAACCTCCACCCCAGGGTCTCCAGGCCGGAGACCTCCCCAGCCCTGCTGTGGACGGAGAAGGTTGGCGATGCGTCGGCGTTCTGGGTCTGGGGATCTCGGGCGTTTGTCCGCGACTTGTCTGCGGACAAGCTGTCCCCTCGCGCTGCTCCCTGCGTCTTCCTGGGGTTCCCCCCCGACGCCCCTGGGTGGCAGTTCTACCACCCCACCTCTCAACGTGTTCTGTCCTCCCAGGACGTCACGTTCGACGAGTCGGTACCCTACTACCGCCTCTTCCCCTACCGCACTCCGTCCCTCCCCCCGCCCCCGCTCTTTTTGGTACCAGGTCCCCCCCCGGTAGACCCCCTCCCCCCTCAGGGTCCTGCCCCTTCAGGTGTGTCGCAGGTAGACGCGGTTGAGCCTGTCGAGGTCACTGGTGACTCTGGTGCTGCTGCGGGAGCTGAGCCTGGGGGTGCTGGGACTGGAGGTGCTACGCCTGGGGGTGCTGAGCCTGGGGGTGCGGAGACTGGGGGTGCTGAGCCTGGGGGTGCTGAGCCTGGGGGTACTGAGTCTGGGGGTGCTAAGCCTGGGGGTGCTGGGCCTGGGGGTGCTGAGCCTGGGGGTGCTGAGACTGGGGGTGCTCCGCCTGGAGGTGCTTTGCTTGAGGGTGCTGAGCCTGGAGGTTCTTCGACTGGGGGTTCTCCGCCTGGAGGTGCTTCGTCTCGCCGAGAGCCACTCTCCCCACAGGAGCTGCGTGAGTGGTTTTCCCGGCGCTGGAGGCGTGCTGCTGGTGCTGGAGGTTCTTTGGCTGCAGAGGGTGCTGCTGTCGCGGGTCCCGGAGGTGCTCGTACTGGGAGTACTGGAGCTGCTGGGCCTGAGGGTTCTCCTGGAGCTGGTGCTGCTGAGGGTGTTGGAGCTGAGACTACTGCTGGCGGTCCGACTGGCAGTGCTCCTGGTGCTGCTGGGGGTTCTGGAGCCACTGGAGGTGCTACTGGAGGTGCTGCTGGAGCGGGTACTCCTGCTGGGGGTACTGGTGCTGTCCCTGCTGTTTTTGGCGTCGCCACGCGGCCCCGACCGTACTTCGTTCCGCTCCTGCAGCAGGTTCTTGGTCTTACACCTTCTCCTGGTCCTCCTCCTCCTCCCTTAGAGGGTCCACAGCCTGTCCAGTCCCAGTCACAGCTACAACCTGCCTCCCCTTTGCCTGCTCCTTCTCCCTACGCTGGTCCGACTGGAGGTCTTACTGAGCGTCGTGAGCCTGCGTCTCGTCCTGCGTCGCCTGTTCGTCCTGCACGCACTAGTGGTCGCGCTTCGCGTCACCGTCCTCCTCCTGTCCCTGGCACACACCGGATGTCTCTACGTCCGTCCACTACTCCTCTGCGTGCCCCTTTGCCTTCTCCTCCTTCTTCCTCTCTTCCTGCTCTTGCCGACCCGGAGTCGGACTCTCTTCGTGCTGCCAGTCCTACTGTCACGCGTCTCCTTGCTACTGCTGTCACTGACCCTTCTTTCGAGTCTTCTGCTGCGTCTGCCCTTGTCACTGAGCTCGTCGACTTTGCTGCGCGCTGTCGTCTAGACTACGCTGCTAGTCTTGTCGCTGAGTCTGAGTCTGCCTGTCCTCCGTCCGTCGGGGGTGAGTGTGCCCTTGGCACGGACGTCCTGGAGGACAGGCAGGAGGAGTTCCAATGTCTGGCCGCCGCTTCACCTCATCTCGCGTCTGTACTGCTCGCCCCTGAGGGAGACCCGGATGCACTAGACATCCCGACTCCGCGCTCTTACGCGGAGGCGATAGAGGGTCCCTACTCCTCTTAGTGGCAGGCAGCTATGGATGCAGAGATGGCTTCCTGGAAGTCCACAGGCACCTACGTTGACGCTGTTCCCCCTCCTGGGGCGAACATAGTCAGTGGCATGTGGATTTTCAGGGTGAAGCGGCCGCCGGGTTCTCCGCCTGTCTTCAAGGCGCGTTACGTGGCTCGTGGCTTTAGTCAGCGGCAGGGAGTTGACTACTTTCAGACCTTCTCTCCCACCCCGAAGATGACCACTCTTCGGGTACTGCTGCACGTTGCTGCTCACCGTGACTACGAGCTGCACTCTCTCGACTTCAACACTGCTTTCTTGCAGGGCAGCCTGCACGAGGAGATCTGGCTGCGTCGCCCACCTGGCTTCACTGGGTCTTTCCCTCCTGGTACCCAGTGGAGTCTCCGGCGTCCAGTCTACGGTCTCCGCCAGGCGCCACGTGAGTGGCACGACACACTGAGGACTACGCTGGCGGCACTTGGGTTTGCTCCTTCTACTGCCGACCCGTCGCTGTTTCTGCGCACCGACACCTCTCTGCCGCCGTTCTACATCCTCGTGTACGTCGACGACTTGGTCTTTGCCACAGCTGACACTGCTGGACTCGCCTACGTGAAGTCCGAGCTGCAGAAGAGACACACGTGCACTGACCTGGGTGAACTGCGCAGCTACCTTGGCTTGCAGATCACCCGGGACAGAGCACGCCGCACCATTACCCTGACTCAGTCACACATGGTGCAGCAGGTCCTTCAGCGCTTCGGCTTCACGTACTCCTCGCCTCAGGCCACTCCTCTGCCTACTCGCCACTCGCTCTCAGCTCTGCCTTCGGATGAGTCCGTAGAGTCAAGTGGTCCGTTTGCAGAGCTTGTTGGCTGCCTCATGTACCTGATGACGTGCACACGACCTGACCTTGCATACCCTCTTAGCATTCTCGCACGCTATGTTGCTCCTGGGAGACACCGACCAGAGCACATGGCTGTAGCGAGGAGGGTGTTGCGCTACTTGTGCAGTACGTCGGGCATGGGGCTAGTGCTTGGAGGGCGCAGTCCAGTGGTCCTCACTGGGCACGCGGACGCTTCTTGGGCTGACGACCAGGCTACGCAGCGGTCGTCACAGGGTTACACCTTCAGCCTTGGTTCCGGCTCTGTTTCGTGGCGGGCCACCCGCTCGTCTTCTGTTCTCGGCTCCAGTTGTGAGGCTGAGATCTACGCCGGGGCTATGGCTGCTCAGGAGCTTCGCTGGCTCACCTACCTGCTGATCGACCTTGGAGAGCCGCCTCGTTCTCCTCCAGTCCTGTACGTAGACAACAAGGCCATGCTGGCCTTGTGTCGAGAGCAGCGAGTGGAGCACAGGACAAAACACATTGCTCTCCGCTACTTTCTTGCTCGTGAGCTACAACAGCGTGGACAGTTGCGGCTTGCGTACGTGGCCTCTGAGGCCAACACTGCTGATGTCTTCACCAAGGCACTTGCGCCTTGTGATCATCAGCGTTGCTGCACGCAGCTGGGTCTTGTGCCTGTCTTGCCTCACTTGCTCACTTCTTGACCTTGCTTGTACCTTGACCTATATATACTCTTGTTCTTGCTTGCTTGACTCTTGTATATCTCTATATATGATCTTGCATGTGAACTGGCCTTGTGGCCCTTGAACTTGTGCTCGGAATGTGTGGTGACTTTGTGATCCACCCTGAGCTTTGCTTTGCTTTGCTTGACTGGTCTTGTGACCTCTTGTTCTCCCCCACTTTGCCTATGGGGGTGTGTCAGAATATTATAGCTTACTTATTTGTGTAGGCTATAGTGGGGTATCCCATAGGGGGTACAACACAACTAGGGTTTTCTATTTGTACTCACTTCATTCATAGTTCACTCATTCTCTCGTTCACTTCTTCTCAAGCAGATAGAGTTCAAAGTTACTTTTTTCTCTTAATACTTAATACAAGGAAGACATGTCTACTAGGAAGGAGAGGAGCTCCTCCAACGGTTCTCCAGGCACTACCCCTACTCCACCTCCTGTCTCTGGTCTACAGACGGAAGAAGGGACTACCACGAGACCAGCAGCTCGGTCTACGGAAACGCCCGCAGGCTTCGATCCAAGCATGATGGAGAAATTCTTCTCCTTCATGTCCTTCTACGAGCAGCACCAGCAAGGAGTACCTGCGCAGTCAAACAACAGCAACAACAACAACGTAACTCCTATGAGTCTCGACGGCTCATCCTACGCACGCGGAATTCAACAACAACAACAGAAGCCTACCTTTGCGCCGTACGAGCCCCAGCGTGGCTCCGTCAGCTTCATGCCGCAACCGCAATCTGCACCGGGACAAGAAAGGGCATTGGATGCATTGCAAGTTCAATCGCAATTTGCGCATGTTCTCAAGCTGCAAACGACAAAGCCCTTCGACGGAAAAGACTTCTTCACCTGGTCGTTCGAGTTCGAACTGATGATGGAAGGAGCACAGATTCTCGGCTTCTTCGACGGGTCCCTGCCATATCCAACAAACGGGACACAATATGAGAAGCAGCAGTACACCTATCAATCAATGATGGCGTACACGATACTGCTAAGAAACATCACCCCGACCCAGCAGCAGAACATCAGGACTTACCGAGGCTACGGCAACTCCGCGGAGCTCGCGTACAACCACCTGAAGAACCTGTATCAAGCAACAGACAGTGTAAATCAAAGCAGGTTAATGGCGCAGTTGACAACAATTGAAATGAAACAGGCGAGAAAGGCATGGCTTATATCAGCCGCTGCCGCGAACTGCGCGACAAGCTTCTTCGATGCGGGGGGTCGATTTCAGAAGACGCCTTTGTCACGGTGGTCATCGGCGGTCTCGGCCCCCACTGGCGCTCCACTCGCGCTCCACTCGCGCCATATTACGAGCACACGGGAGGATTTCCGAAGCGGCACACTGCGCCGAAATACATGCCGAGCAGCAGGACATGGACCTGCAAGAAGAACGACATAAGAAGAAAACGTCAGTACCAGAGTTCGCGTTTCATCCCCAGCGACGCTACAACAACAACAACAATCGGCAGCAACAACAATTGAAGCCAGTACCTCCGTTTTGCCACATCTGCAAGACTTCAGGGCATCCTCGTACGCCTTGCCCGCATCGTCAGCAATCGACAACATCACAGCGACAACTTCGGCCTTCAAGCTCCCAAGTCACTTCAACGCAAGTAAATCCCACGACAAAGATTCAAGCCTCAACGACTCCAACAGGACAACCTGCACAAGGAGCAAGAAACATTGTCAACTGTATGGCAAAGATAACAGATTCCTGTATCATCGAGTCACCACCTCACTACTCACCGGAAGAAGAGCTCGACAACAGGTTGCCTCGCCGCGAGTCACTCCAACCGAATCTGACGTACGCCGCCATCGCTCAAAGCGAACCGTCCGGGCAAGACACCTGGTTCCTGGACAGTTGCTGCGGACAACATATGTGCTCCTCGGGACGCTTCGTTCAACGCGAACATCAACTCCAGCGAGAAGTAGTCATCACGGTCGCCAACAACCAGAACCTGCGCACACGACGACAAGGAGTAGTTCAGCTTCAATCAAGAGAGACAAACGTCATACTGCACATGTCAAAGGTACTCATCGCAGAAAGACTCGGTTATAAATTACTGAGTGTCAGCCAGCTGATGGCGAAAGGCATCCACTTGGAAGCCGACAGCTCCACCCAGGAGTTTAAACTGTACCACGGGAAGGGTGGCCTCTACATCGGAAGAGCAATTTTGAAGAACAATGTCTTCGTCCTCGATTTCGTCCCCGACCTTGGCACTGCGGATAGCGACGCCATCGTCAACTTCGCCGATTGGACACATCCCCCGGATCTCGATCCCGACTTCAGCCCGGGAGGTTTCTGGTACTCGCACACCATCCCTGAAGCAGAACGAACACGAGCGTTAGCAACAATTCAACAAACAGCAGTAGCAGAGACAACATCGACAGCAGAAGAGACAACATCGGCAGCAGCAGAGACAACATCGGTAGCAGCAGAGACAACATCGGCAGCAGCTGAGACAACATCGACAGCACCAGAAACATCATCGTCAGCAGCAGGACCAATGACACCAGTCATCGTCCACGAAGCACCACCAACACCCGCACAGCAACTGAACCCGACTCAACGAGAAGTCCACAGAAGCGCCAATGTCGTCGCCAGCTTCTACTCCAACTCCGACGCGTATCAACGCTCACCCGGACATCGCGCTCCTGAAGACATCTGGCACGCACGCACAGGACATCCAAGCAACACAGTATTAAATAACACAATACGAGCAGGAGTCCTCGACAAAGATTCACTACTACTACCCGACGGCAGAGAACTTCAACGGGCACGAGGAACTTGCCTCATCTGCCCCGAAGCCGACTTACCCCATCGACCGTTTTCTTCTCACCACAACCCGAGCGCACCTGCATACGCACCACTCGAGAAAGTATACAGCGACATCCTCTTCAATCGAGAACCAGGACAAGTCACCTACAATTACACGATAACCTTCATCGACGCCGCCACTCGATACGTCTGGCATCGAAACCTACCCAGCCGCGACATGGCACTCGCAGCGTTCGCCGTTTGGCTACCGGTAGCAGAGAGGGAGTCATGAACACAGCTGAAAAGCTTCCAGTTAGACGGAGGAGGAGAATACACCTCTCAGCGCTTCAAGCAGTACCTGGCGGAAAGGGGAATCAAGCAACTCCTCTCCCTTCCCTACGCCCATCAGCAGCAAGGTGTTGCAGAAAGAATGAATAGGACTCTGCAGAACAGCATGCGCAAACTGCTACGTGGCATGCGGCTACACAACCACCAGTGGCCTGCAGCAATGGACCATGCTGTCATGCTGCACAACTTGCTGTCGTCGTCGTCACTCCCGAACAACGCATCACCGCATCTGCTGTGGAAAGGAAAGCAGGGCAGCACAAGAATGTTACGAGTTTTCGGATGCATGGTGCAGTACCGACCCCCAGAAGCACGAGCGGGAAGATTTTCACAACGGGCACAGTGGGGACTACACCTTGGCATCGAGAAAAATTACAACGCGTGGAAAATTTTCGATGTCCACTCAAAGGAAACAGTAGCAGCACGTGATGTGATCTTCTACGAGCGACTTGTCAGATTATCATAGCTGATGCATGTTTGTAGGCTATAGTGGGGTAGCACATATGGGGTACAGTTTGCTAGGGTTGTATTTGTACCCAACTCTGACTTAGTCAATTCATTCCTGTTCAGTTAGTTTCACATGGTATAGAGCGGGTCCCTCCTAAGGACCGTTCTTTGGGCCCACCCACGATTTTTTTTCCTGCCCGGAGCGCGCCCTATTCTCCCCGAGGCGCGCTCCCCCTAGTGCGCGTCGAGCTGCCCTTGTGGCGCCCCGAGAGTCGCGCGCGCGATTCATTTTTTTTTCGCGCGCGCGGTTCAGGCCCCACTTCGCGCGGCCCTTACAGCCGCGCCGCGCCGCCCTCTCGGCTCTGCCGCGCCGCGCCGCCCTCAAGACGGCCGCGCGGCCTCTTCGTCGCTGCAGCAGGCCCCCCCCCCCCCCCCCGCTGCACCTCTGTCGGCCCCGCAGCCGCCTTACCTGACGGCCGCCGCCTCACCTGACGGCCCGCCGCCTCGACTTCTGGCCCGCCACCTCACCAGACGGCCCCCCCGCCTCACCTGACGGCCCACCGTCTCACCTGCTGGCCCGCCACCTTACCTGACGGCCCCGCCGCCTCACCTGACGGCCCGCCGCCACCTTACCTGACGGCCCCGCCGCCTCACCTGACGGCCCGCCGCCTCACCTACTGGCCCGCCACCTGACCTGACGGCCCCGCCGCCTCACCTGACGGCCCGCCGCCTAACCTGCTGGCCCGCCACCTCACCTGACGGCCCGCCGCCTCACCCGCTGGCCCGCCACCTGACCTGACGGCCCCGCCGCCTCACCTGCTGGCCCGCCACCTGACCTGACGGCCCCGCCGCCTCACCTGACGGCTCGCCACCTCGCCTGCTGGCCCGCCACCTGACGGCTCCGCCGTCCCCTGTCCCGGCCCCGCCGCTGCACCCTGACGGCCCCGCCGTCCCCTGTCCCGGCCCCGCAGCTGCACCCTGACGGCCCCGCCGAGCCGCCCAGCAGCAGCCGAGCCGCCCAGCCGCAGCCGAGCCGCCCAGCGGCAGCCGAGCCGCCCAGCAGCAGCCGAGCCGCCCGGTACCCGAGACGCCCGAGCCGCCCGAGCAGCCCGAGCCGCCTGCTGCTGACCTACCCGACTCTCCCATCCTGGTGAGACTTTCAGCTGCTGCCATGGCCACCCCCAATGTTCTCACTTTTGACGCTGAGGGGAGGGCCATTGACTTTGCCGTCTGGATCGAGGACCTGCAGCTGTACTTACTGTGTGATGCGGTAGATGAGGTCTCTCTCTTTGACTTTGTCTCTGGCGCTGTCCCTGCCCCGCCTGCTGATGCTGACTCTGCCGTTCGCTCCAAGTGGGCGACCCGCGATGCTGCTGCACGTCTTGCTGTGCGTCGCCACCTCCCTTCCTCTGAGCGTGCCCAC